AGAAAATTCCGATCTTTGCACGGTCGCCAGCAACGCTGGATCATTCAAGATCTTAAGCAAGTTTTTGTGTGACAACTCCTCTGCAATTGAGGCAGAGCAGAAACCTGCTGATTGGATTTGTTCCTGTCTGCTTGTGCTGAACAAGGTCTTGGCGAATACTGAAAAGAACAAGGCTCTTGATTTGCGCGAAGTGGGATCCAAGACCGAGGATGTAAGTCAAGGGGCCCAGAATGAGAAGGCAGATCCAAAGGATGATGAGGTCATATCTGAACACGCAACCCTTATGAGGTTTTGTATTGGTTTGTTGCAAAAAGATCCAGAGCCACACTTGTTACAGGCAATACTGGACGTCTGCGCACGATTGACCAGGCATCATTCCTTAGCTTCCATATTCTTTCATGAGGGGGCGGTTGAAAGATTGCTCAGCATTCCAAAGCGATCTTCGTATCAAGGCCAGGCAGTTGTTACTGGATCGATCATCAGGCATGTTCTAGAAGATTCCCATTCATTGCAAGCGAGCATGGTCAGTGAGATCCGATCAATCCTGTCATCAATGATGGCACGCAACAATGGGAAGAATCCCACATTGAAGGCTTTTCTCAGTTCGTCTGCGTCTTTGGTTCAAAGAGATGCCAATACCTTCGCCAAAGCGATCAAATCATGCTGTAAACTTGTCAATGAAGATGGGAGAAAGTTGATTGCAATCTTGGATAAGAAAGAGGACAAAACTCATCAAGGTGATTTATTTTGTAAATTGTTTTGTTAGCGTTGATCGATACTGACCACGATTTGCAGATTATACCAACAATGATGTGGCTGCTGAGCTACATCGCCAATCATCTGGTGGATCCATTTCAAATTTGCAGAAGGGCAAGGGATCTTCACGAAATTTGACAGAAGTTACCAACACGATTGTCTCTTTGCTTATCAACAAGTTATTGGCTGATCCACGAATTAAGAATCAGCCTCAGGAGCACAGCATCGAAAAGAGCAGTGAGTTGAAGACCACAGCAGATGCCAGTTGCGGATCATCAGAGAGCATGCAGCTAGACAAGTCCCAGGGTGAAAAGCCTGCTTCTACAGCAAAAAATGAAGAGTTGAGCGCGATTACTCCCGTGAATATCCTACGATATTTGGCAGACATTGTGAAATTTTATCCTGGATGCGCACAGATGCTGTTGAAGTATACGATTGATTCGTCAGAGACTAAGGGGGACAGTTCTCAGAAATCGAATGAAACTTTCGTGCAATATCTCCTGAGAGAATTGCTTCCTCATTGCAGTCCCTCCAATGGGAAGAATGCACAGAAAAGTATCAAGGAAGTCAGTGACATATCGCGCCGCTCGACATCTCTGGTGATTTCGTTACTTTCTCGAGGATCTGAAGTGAGGAAGAAGGTTCTAACAGAAATAGTTTGCGTTTTGAATTCTTCGACGCGATCACGGATGACTGGTCATCTTCTGATGTTGCAGAGTATTTCAGATATTCTGAACACTTTGGTCACTGCCAAGGTTCATCCCAACCAAACTTCAAACGAACCAGCTCCAGAGACGATCAAGCTTTTGCAGGATTGTAAAGTTCCACAGGCTTTATGTAAAGCAGTCGCAAGCATGGATCTCCATCATCCCAATGCATCGAGGGCATCAACCTCGATCTTGAGACCACTTGAAGTAATCTGTGCTAATGCTTACCAAAGCGATAAGGCATCTGTTCCCTCTGCCAAGAAACAAGGGGGCAACTCGGACTCGAATGTCAACGATAGCGGAACAGGCCAAGATCGGAACAGAAATGGTGATAACTCTCGTTCAAATCTGCAATCTTTGTCGAATGAAAATCAATCGATGGACATGGAGCACGAGATTGAAAATGATCATTCAGCTTCGCGGGACGAAGAGATGCATGATCAAGGCTCGGTCAACGATGATATGCGAGGTTCAGATGAAGAAGATTCGGATGAAGAGGAGGAGGAGGAGGAGGAGGAGGAAGACGAAGACACAATTGATGATGACAGCTTTGAGAGATTCATAGAGGATGATGAAGACAGGGATAGTCAAGGTCAGGATGATGAGTACCAAGCCATCCTGGAAGGAGACCGAGAAGAAGAGCCTTTCTTGACTCGTTTGAATCGCGAGAGTGTCCCGGAGATAATCTTGAACCACCATGCTGGCTCGCAAAGCCTCTCAAGGCATGATCTCAACAACATTATGGAACAATTGGTTGAAAACGAGAGTCTGATCAGAGACGAGGTTGTAGACGTTGCCGACGTCAATGGTATGGAAGTTGACGATCAAGACGCCCATCCTCAGCATGTATTTAGCTTTTTGATGTCAGGGAATCGGGACGATTTTATGGGTGGCAGACGAATGTTTCACGACATGGTCGCCATTCCTTCGCTTCATGATATGCCTTTGTTGCGCTTCCCAAGCAGAGCCCTCATTGAAAGAGGAATTTTGCCAGGTGGACGCAATACTGTACCAAATCATGAAGCCCTTCCGTCAGAGCATCCTCTGTTGACAAGGCATGGCGATCGTACGCGAAGCAGAAGCTCTGCTTCGGATGGAGACCGAGAAGGTGCAGATAATGCGGAGCGCGGAATTTCGCGCAGATTGAGGACAGAACTCATATTTGGAGGCATTGGATCTCGGTCGATGGGTCGAGTTTTAGTTGGGGATCAAGCTATGCACTTGTTGGGAAGGCAGAACATGGAAAACAATGCAAGTGCAACTAGCAGGTGGACTGATGATGGAAGAGGATCTAGCCAGGCCATGCGCAACATGGCGATAGAGATGGAGGACACATTAGCTTCATTTTTGATGGAAAACAACGCTGCCGAGGATCCAACGAGTCGGAATGCCGCACTCCCAGTAGAAGGATCTGATCCAAGCAGGCGAGGTGCAACTTCTTCAGCAGACAATGACATGGAGGAAGACAACGGGGGGAATGTTTCTACAATGTCAATAGGTATGATGCTGCATCTTGTATCAATTTATCCGTATCTGACTGATTCTCCTAAAAATTTGTTTGCAGCACACGAGCGTTCCGTTGATGAAATTCAGCAAGTGGATTCGGAAGTGACTCTTTCGTCGTCGATTGCGAACCGTTCGGACGCCATGGAGGAGGACGATAACGAACTGCAAGCAGCATTGCAGCTCTCGCTTCAGTCAGATGAATCGTCGGGTCAAGAAATGCCAACGGAAACTATGCAGGACGCCCCTTCTGCTGAGCAACAAGGACCAGCAGAGATTGAAAGCCGATCTGAGGCTGCTGATGCAGAGAAAATCACTACAGAGCCTGCTTCCGGCAACGCGTCTGCAGTGCAGCCCAACGAACCATCTCCGAGTGCAAGCACTCAGAACGTGGACGCAGACTCTGCAGGGATCGACCCGACGTTTCTGGCAGAGTTGCCTGAGGACCTTAGGGCGGAAGTCATGCAACAGCAGATGAACAGAAATGCTGCTGCACAACTCGCCTCAACAGCGGCGAGCTCTATCGACCCAGAGTTCCTTGCAGCCCTTCCCCCTGACATCCAGGTAACACTCTATTATTTTGCTGCTTCTGAACAATGAATGACTTTGTTTTGCAAGGCTGATGTTATTCGCCAACATCAGAGGGAGGAGCAGCAGAACAACGCGGTGGAAGCGGACACCTCTCGTTCTCAGGACATGGACAATGCTTCCTTCATCGCCACCCTGAGTCAAGAATTGCGAGAAGAAGTCCTTCTTACCTCGGACGACGCATTCTTGGCAACTCTTCCACCTCATCTGGTGGCTGAAGCAGCCTTGCTGAGGGAGAGGGAGAACGATTTTGGAAGGAGCCTTCATCACAGCTTTGGTATGTCACGGAGGCAATCGCAAAATACCTCCTCTCGCCAAGAACCTGCTCGTGCTGCAAACAACAATGCCAGCAAGCCACAAGCAAAGAAGTTGATGCAAGTTATCGACGAAGGCAGTGTCACTTACATCTTGAAGCTCCTGTTCCTGGTTCAACCCGTGACCAAAGCGCTCATGAACAAGATTTTGTTGCACATTGCGGCACACGAGGGCACTCGCGACGTTGCCGTTCGGTTCTTGCTCAGTGTGATTCTGCAATCGTGCGATCAAAACTCAAAGCATCATGAGATGTACGGATACAGCGCGAACAATGCCGTCAGCGATGCTTTTGTTCCAATCACCATCTGCAGAAGAGCCGTTGAAGCCCTTTGTCATCTGGCTATGTATCAGAATGAAGTGTGCAAAACAATGCTCAAGGACGATTTCTTGGAAGATCGTGTAGTCAAGGATTTCCAGAAACACTTGATGCCTAAGCTTCAATTCCTAGACAAGACAGACCTGACTCCAGACAAAAAAGCCATTTCATCCCTGATTTCTTTCTTAGCGACGGAGACGGCCACCAAAAGCATTGCACTGCAGGAGCAGGTTTTGCAGCTACTCAACACAGCTGTTCAATTTGTAGAAAAGACCTTGGAGGAAGAAACGGCAGAGACCAAGCCCACGGCTGAAGGAACAAAGTTTTCAATGCCCAAAGTCAATGTCCTTGAATTGCATTGTCTCACCCAGACTTTAACTGCATCAGGGAACTCGTCGAAGTGCATGGAAAGGTTGACTTCACTGTTCAAGAGCTTGTCGTGCAACCCTATCAACCTGGTGGCATGCATTTCTCATCTGATTGCAGAAGTTAAAGGTGAAGGAGAGAAGTCGAAGGTGGCTCTGGAACTGTTTTTGAGGGACTGCAAGGAATCGAAGAACATGTCCCTTGAAACATTCATCGGGGAGCAAGATTATAAATTGCTCAGGCTGGTGAAGATGCTGAGGTCCCTTTGGCCGACAAAGTCCAGCGATACGAGCGCTGAAGATCCCAACACCCAGGAGATGCTCATCGACACAGTCTCAAGAAGATCCTTGGGAGAGGCTGTCGAGCTCCAAGACCTGTGGCACCTGCTTGGAGAGTGTCTGTCCATGCTGGAGAGGACGGAGTCAAACACCAAGTCAACGGGCCATGGCTCGTTGTCCCCGGCACTTTGTCGCATGCAACCTCTCTTCGAGGCCTTCCTGGTCGTGAAGGCACCTGACTCTGTGAAGAACGCTTCCTCATCCAAGAATGCTGGCAAGTCTTCGAGCTCAATGGACGTGGACAAGGCTGCAGAGGGTGAGTGCTCGCCTGGCAGAAATCCCAGCGCACTCAACGTGAAGGAGTTCGTGTCATTCGCCGAACAACACAGGCATACTCTAAACATGTATATCCGCCAGGACAAGTCGTTGTTACACTCCATTGCTTTTGCGCCTCTTGTCCGATACCCCAAGTTGTTGGACTTCGACAACAAGAAGCACTTCTTCAGGTCTGAGCTGAAGAAGCGCAACGTCAGCCAGCGATACAACTCCATCAGGATCAACGTCAGGAGGGACTACGTGTTTGAAGACTCGTTCCACCAGATAGTCCTGAGGAAACCGGACGAGCTCAAGGGCAGGCTGACGGTCACCTTCAACGGGGAGGAGGGAGTAGACGCGGGAGGGCTGACAAGGGAGTGGTATCTCATCCTCTCGAAACAGATGCTGAACCCAGACAAGGCTCTGTTCATTCATTCGGCCAACGGTCTGACGTATCAACCGAATCCTGCCTCCACGATCCAGCCCGATCATCTTAAGTACTTTAAGTTCGCTGGTCAAATAGTCGGCAAGGCGATCTGGGATGAGCAGCTTCTTGACAGCCACTTCACGCTGTCCATGTACAAACATATGTTAAATCAGCCGATCGAGTACACCGACGTGGAGTCGATCGATCCGGAGTATTTTAGGAACCTGGGATGGATGCTCAACAACGATATCACCGACATCCTCGAGGAAACTTTCAGCATCGTGCGAGAGCAGTTCGGGGAGATGCTGACCATCGACTTGAAGCCCAACGGAAGGAACGTCCCTGTAACAGAGGAGAACAAGCACGAGTAAGCAGTGTCTGTAGCATCCTCTTAGTGAACCCTCACGCCCCTTCTCCTTAGGTATGTACAGCTGGTGGCGGAGCAGCAGATGACCAAGGGCATCAAGGAGCAGATCGATGCGTTCAAGGAGGGCTTCCACCAGCTCATGCCCCTGACCTCATCTCCATCTTCACGTGCGCGGAGCTCGAGCTCCTCATGTGCGGCCTTCCGACCATCGATGGTGAGCGCATGCGCGGCTGCTGTAGACTAGGTCGTGACCATGCGCCTGCAGTTCAAGACCTCCGGCTCAACACCGAGTACACCGGGTATGTTGCTGACTGAGATGTCTGTCTACCTTCTGACACTGAAGTCCGGCAGCTACACCAGAGAGTCTCCTCAGATCCAGTGGTTCTGGAATATCGTACAGACGCTCAGCCAGGAGGACTTGGCTCGCCTCCTTCAGTTCGTCACGGGAACATCGCAGGTCTGAGCTTGTGGGAGGGAGGGGGAGAGGAGGCGATGGAGGGGAGAGGGGCAGTGAAGAAAGGAAGGAGCCGTGAACAAGTTGAGATGGGGAGGAAGGTTGAAGTTGCTCCAGGTCCCCATGGACGGTTTCAAGGCCTTGAGAGGGATGAATGGACCGCAGAAGTTCAACATTCACCGGTAGGGAACAACCTCACCTGACGTGCGTTGACGATGGTGGCAGCTGCGGTGACAAGAAGCGACTGCCGTCATCCCACACTTGCTTCAACCAGCTGGACCTACCGGAGTACAGCTCGGAGGAAGAGGTGAAGAACCGGAGTGCCTGGCCTGTATCTGATGCTGATTCGCACCCGCAGCTGTCCAAGTATCTTCTGAGCGCCGTGCGCGAGGGCTTCGAGGGCTTCGGTGAGACAGGAGGGGAGGGGAGAGGTAGAGAAGAGACTGACGATGTTTTCAGGTTTCAGCTGAGCTGAAGGAATTGATAGGGAAGATGTAAATATAAGGGAAGGAGCGTCTAGTAGAGGAGGGGCAGCTGACAGAGCAAAGTTTGAAGTTTCATTGAAGATACAAGACCAACAGTTACAAGACAACCAGCGACCTCTCACTTGCGACTGAACCAGCTCATGATGCCTACAAGTGATCGTCAGCCTCCATCCCTCCCCCCCTCCCTCCCCTCCTTCCCATCCCATCCCTCCCCCCGTCCCTCCCCTCCTTCCCATCCTCCACTCCCTCACCTCCTGCTTTCTTCTTGCACCTCTCCGTGAGATCCGGGAACTCGATCTGTCCAGCCATGTCAATTGAGCCCTCCACACCCTCCTCTTCCACACCGAACCCCCCCGTCCTCCTCCCCGTCAACCCCCAGTGTTCTCCTTTCCCTCTTCTCCCCCCTTCCTCCCATCCCCCCCCCTTCCTCCCATCCCCTCCCCCTTCCTCCCCCTGCCCCTCTACATGACTCCTGGCCCAGTCCTCACCTTGTTGAGCGCGAGGTCAAACAGCACAGGTTTGCACGCAACTGCCTCGATAGGAGGAGGAAATTCTACAATCTTGGGCGCTTTCCCGCTGTCACCATACACGGCAGCCTGCGCGAACACTGAGAGAGCAGGAGGAGAGAGGGAGAGGAAACCTCGTAGTCGTTGAGACGAGCAGTGAGTGGCATGGCGGAAATCTGCGCAAACTCTCATCCTTCCTCCTCTCCCTCCTTCTCCTCCCACTCATCCACAATCTTCTTGCCCTCCCTCTTCTCCTTTCCTGGCTTTACTCCTCCCTTCCCACCACCACCACCACCTCCTCCTCCTCGTCCTCCTCCCTTCCCTCGTCCTCGTCCTCGTCCTCCTCCCTTCCCTCGTCCTCGTCCTCGTCCTCCTCCCTTCCCTCCTCCTCCTCCTCCTCCTCCTCACCTTCTTCATGTTCTCCCCTGAAATCTCCCTAGTCGGGTTCACACTCCCCTTGCTCGCTACCCAGCTCGCGTGCGCCTCCAGCTTGTGCTGAGTCCCCAGCAGCTGCACGCGGTCCAGCCAGTCCTTGTCGACCGGGTCCGCGCAGCCGCTCTCCTCGAAGCGAGTCCGCGCCACCTTGACAAGCTGCGTCGCACGCTCGAAGAGAGCGAAGGCCTCGACAAACTGCTTCTGCGAGGAGTAGGACAAGCCCAGGTACAAGATCCTTCCCGCCTGCTTCCAGGTCAGGCCAGGGAGGAGGATGAGGAGGAAGATGTGGAGGAGAGGGAATGAGGAGGGAGAGGGGAGAGGAGAGGGGAGCGACGAGCGAGCAGCAGGACGAGGGGAGGAAGATGAGGACGAGGGGAAAGGAAAAACGGAGGAGAGGGTTGCAGCAGCAGGAGTTGAACCTTGTAGAGCAGTGTGCGGGCAGCAACGCACTTTGACTGCCCCGCGTCCTCAGCAATGCCAGGGATGGCGCCGTACTCGCTAGTACCCTGGAAATGAATCAGCCCACAGACGAGAGCAGCGAAGGAGGAGGAGGAGGAGGAGGAGGAGGAGGAGGAGAAGGAGGAGGAAGAGGGAAGGGCGAAGAGTGTATGGAGCAAAATGAAAGAATGTAAGGGGAGACAGAGCAAAGCGGTGGAGGAAACAAGTTGGGGGCAGGGAAGGAGAGGAGAGGAGAGAGGAGGGAGAGGAGAGAGAAGAGAGGGAGGGAGAGCCTCGGGGAGGGAGGGAGGGAGGGAGGGAGGGAGGGAGGGAGGGAGGGAGGGGAGGGAGGGAGGAGAGGGTAA